AAAGGTGCACTCTTTAAGGCCCCATATCTCCTGAACTACATGTCCGATTTTGTTCAAATCTTGCAGATATCTTGAAAAGGGAGTGCTTTAGAGGTATATTGGCCCTATGTGATGATGACGTCATCAGGAGACAAGTCACATGACATTAAAGGTGCATCCTTTAAGGCCTCATATCTCTTGAAGTACATGTCTGATCGGGTTCAAATCTCGCAGATATCTTGAAGAGGGAGTGCTTTAGAGGAGTTTTTACCTCCTGTGATGATGACGATATCAGGAGACAATTCACGTGACATTAAAGGTGCACACTTCAAGGCCCTATATCTCCTGAAGTACATATCCGATCGGCTTAAATTCTTGCAGATTTCTTGGTGTATTGACCTTGCCTGATGATGACGTCATCAAGAGACAAGTCACGTGACATTAAAATTGCACTCTTTTAGGCCTTGTATCTCCAAAAGGACATGGAACAACATGTTGAAAGTTAGCAGATATCTGGAAGGGGATGTGTGATAGACAAAAATTGACCTCATGGGATGATGATGTCATCAGTAGACGAGTCATGTGACATTAAAGGTGTATCCTTTAAAGCCTTATATCTCCAAAAGTATATGTTCCCGTGGGATGAAACTTTGCAGATATGCAATCATGACGATGGTCTTTTCAATGAAAAGTGAAAAAGCCCAATGTTCTTTTGCAAACAGACATGGAACCTGTCGTTATATTTTTTTTTCTCTGTAATATTCAGTCAGTTCTTTCTGACATAGCACTTTGGCAGTTAGGAAATTCAGACAGACTTCAAACTTAGCAGATAGTTGAACAATCTTCCAAGGACGGTCCTGGAAGAAATTCACAATGATGACTTATTAATTTTTTATTGATTTTTGAATATTTTTTTCCATAGACTTTGTACACAGATTGCACGCACTTTTTTGACTCTCATATATAAGGCTATGAAGGCGCTATTGCAGAATTACAGTTGTACCTGCCTGGGGTTTCAATTTTTAACAAAATGTCCTGTATTGAACC